ATATCCTGTTGCTACATGAATGGTATCTATATAGTGCAGTACAATATCGCGTATTTGAATAAAGGGGGACAACAACCGAGCTGTCTATCACCGACATTTGTGCAATACGCTTCGTGCAAGTAAATATGTTTCTTGTTAGAGAGGGTTGTGAAGGAGTGCTGAGTTGTGGACGTAATGGTGTTCCTTCAGTTGGACCGGCCCCTAGTTTCAAAACATACTTTTTTCGCTCGACTTTGCAGCGCCGTCCACGTGGCTAATGAAAACCCTAAATTGTTTATGAGACATCTTAAATTTACTGCTGGACTGTTGTACGTAGCCATTCCCCTCCTTAAAGGAATGCCATCAATGTACACGCACCGTCAGTCTGTTGGTGGAAAATTTATTGACGTTTTTCTTGTACATTTTCTACACTCCGCTTGTGTATCATCACCACGCCCGCGTTCTTGGTATGACATGTTGTCAGCTCATAATATGTTCCACAAATGCAATGTGGACTTCTTATTGTTTGAAGCTGGAATTGGGATTCGTAAGTGCGGGTCACTCAACCACTGGACGATTGTCACGTTCGCGATGTTAAAAGAAACTTATTCTTGTTACTGAAAATAGGGAAAATGCCCAAGATTCAAAACATTCTACTTTGATCTCTTTAAGATAGGCATTCATCTACACATACGGAAAACAGCTCCCCCTGTTTTGGAAAGTTGACTTTCACTTTTCAGCGTAATGGTAGTCTTGTTAAGCGTCAAAAATGTTTCATCCAATCATGTGATCGACTAAGGGCAGCGCCAGCGTCAGGCATGAGCATTATCGATTCCATGGCGATTAGAACCGCAGTGCCTTCACCCGATCCAGCGGCAGCATGAAGATATAATGTGGATCTTCGATATGGTTAGCATCTTATAGGCGCTAAACAAACACACACGGGAAACTGAGAATGCAATGTAAGGTGCGAAGGTGTCCGTAATGTGAGGAAATATATTGATGTACACTAATGCGACATTACATTCAGAGAAATCGCCGTGATAAACCTCCTGTGCATTCCACAGTGCGTCGGTAGATCCCATTGGTTGTTAGAAACAATTTACATAGACTGGAAGCACAACATTTTTGATCCTAACCGAATATAACACTGGGATTAGATAGTATGTGTTGGGAGAAACAGCCTGCTCCATCGAACGTCCAGCGTGAGAAGTTGGATTCTGCCAGGTGTGTGTGTAAACTACGCTGAAGAACGTTTTCTCTTCCTTCTTCTCTCTCTCACACACACACACACGCTCGCTTGATCAGCTTGCTCAACGGGACTGAATCCATTGGGATTTGTTTAGGACGGATCATTCCAAGAATAATGCATAAGGCTATTTCAGTCAAAATAGTACGGAAGAGGCTTCAAAGCAAGAGTGTGACTCAATGCAAAAAGACTGTACCCAGAAAGTCAAACCTAAGATGAATTTGAGTGTTGGCAGGCCTATAAAATACAGAAGTAACAATGTAGCTTACTAGCCGCTACGTGGCTTCCTAATCCTGAGCGGGTACCGCGACGTTTCGGGCGTTGCAACTTGGTGCATCAATCCAATTAGAATGGCATTGATGTCATCATACCTTAGCGCATTGTTGGCGGTCTGTTTTGAGAAATGTATTTCAATACAGTCCAGTGTGAGCGCTTGTGCTTGGTGTTTGACTGATGCTGATGTGCTACATCATCCCACCATCATATTTACTGATACACAACTGTGTTAGATCGCACAGTTATACATTTGTGGGAGATGATTTGAAGTTCCTGGTCCGATCGAGCTCGGCTCTCTGCGGTGGAAATCGCTTAACACACCAGTATGGGTGACATTTTCAGTGCAGTAACTAAGAGAAAGGTGACAACAGCCAATCAGTACGGAGCCACAGACTATTTCACCTCAACAATCAAACTGACCACTGGGAAAGTGGAAAGGAATTACTATGGATAGTGATGCGTTTTGCTCCACAAAACTGGAATAAAATGAGTGGAAATGAGGCGTTTTTCATTTCCATTTGCTATTCCAGTTAAGTAGTAGGACGTAACTCATTTAGCAGTACGAGTACAGATACATAAATCCGCAAGCGAGCAGAAAGTGGAAAGCTTGAGTTTTACACACAATCACAACAAAGTCAAGTTGGGTAGTCAAACCGGAAACGCAATAGTGCAATCTGATTGGTTAGAACCAACTGATCCTACACTAGACGAAGTCACTCTGACGTGCGCGTGTGTGTTGTGGTGACTGTGCGAATAAAGCCAATCAATCAATAACGGCACAGGTATGTGCAGTCAACTGTCC